GATTGTTTTTTTTATTATTACAAGTTTTTACATTAATTCTTACTTCATTTTTCAACTCAATCTTATAAAAAAAAATTTTGGATTATTTTTTTTATTATTACAAGTTTTTAATTAAAAAAATATATAAAGAAGAACAAATTATGTTTTTTTTTTAGCGAGATAAACTTATGAAAAACATAAGAAATAAATAGTTAAATGTTAAATACAAACTAAATACAAACTTTTAATTATAAAATTTAAAAATTAGATGAAAATTTAGATGATTTTTTTTTTTTTTTTTGATTTGGTATAATTTAATGAATTCATACACATCACGGATCATTAAATCGATTTTTTTAAATAATTTTAAATATTATTTGTGCACAAGTAAAAAGCTAGTGTATAGCTAATATATTTGGAACCTGTTATAATCGGTATAACGTGTGTTTGGTCTATTAACAATAAATTGACGTTGGACTTTTTTTTTTTTTTTATAAAAAAAGACACTGGTCTAATACAAGACAGCTTTATTTGATTTGATTTTTAAACCAGGGTATACGTCTAATATCGTTTATCCTTAGAGATCACATTAGTAATTTTGGGTAGTTGTATAAAAAACTCCAATCGCTAGTGCTTATTAATCGTGTATGAAAAATTAATCCGTTCTTTTTCTTGTAACCCTAGATGGTTAGATATTCATCCAAATTTTATTGCTAATACAATTTGAGTTCGTTGTCTGAATCGACATAGCCTGTGTTTTTGGTCTTTGCCGACGAGAAAAGTAGTCAGAGCATGATCTAAGGCGATACGGTGATGTCAAAGCAGATTACCCAATCTATGAATGACACAAGAAGATGCGTATCCTTTTTGTTGTCCTCCGTGATTAATACAAGAGACGCTATTGTAGTCTGCCACGTTTTGATTTTGATTTTTTTTGAATTTTTTTATTTCAAGTGTGGAAGAGTCCGGCAAAATATCATTCATACGCTGCTACGCAGGAGGATACGTGGCCGTAGTTTCAAAAGATCGTCCTCGTATAATATAATGATTGTTATTTAACAGATTTGAAAATGTTCAATATTGTTATGCATCATTTAAATGAGTATAATGATGTTTTATCTAAGTATTGACTATTGACATTATATACTGATATGGTTATATAATGTCATTATTTATCATCATTTATCATCATTTAGTGAATACTGATTGTTATATATATATATATATATATATATATATATATGTGATAGTAAATTATTAGAAATGTTATTATTATTTTTTAATAAATTCAATTATTATTGTATAATATCAAATTATTAGAATGTTATTATTATATTTAATTAATAAAATAATTAAAAATATATAAATTATAATAAATTTATTGAAAACTACTAATTTGTTATTGTATTTACGACATTAATTACTTGTGATTTTTATTTTACCATGAAAATAAATCACAATTCACAATTATAATCACGATTATTTTTACAACTACGTCCGTAATTTAAAATTATAGATGTGACAATTTTTAATAAAATGTGCACCTTGAGACCTTGGCTTATCTTTGTTTGATATTTTATGATTGTATATTTAATCATATTATTATACCATTTAATCCTTCCTTATTCATTAAAATAAAAAGTTGAGTTATATATCAAATCTTATTATTTATGATTTTTAATTGTTGTCATTTATATCTTGTAATTTTTTCCATTCCTCCAATAATTTGGATTTAGGATCTCCCAATCTAACTTCTACTTGCAATCTAACATATATATATAGTTTGTTAGGTAGATTACAGAGTAAATATTTTGGTTAGGTAGATTACCACCTTTACAAAGTAAATTATAAATTAGTTTATCTTATTTCAAGAAAAGAATTAATTAGTCTTTTTTATTTTGAAAGTTAATTGTTTAGTTCTTATGTTTTGAAATCTATTTATAATTTAGTTATTTTTGCTCCTTTTGATTTATTTTGATTTTTTTTAAGAAATAGAGAAAGAAACAAAATATAAAAAAATATGAAAAGATTAATGAGAAAATAAGATATTTTATAAAATAAAAATAATATTGAATTAAGTATGATTAATACTCATTAAAGAATTAAATAATAGTTTTTGAAACAAAGAGTATTAATTAATTTATTTTTAAAACGAAAGGGACTAATTTATAATTTACTCAACCTTTACATTAAATTGAAACTATTTTATTGCAATCTCGCTGAGATGAAGTGGAAGTATGAAGATGACAAGGTTAGTTATGGGTGTTCATTCGGTTTTTTGGTTCGGTTTCGGTGTTTTTTTTTTTTTTTTTTGGTTAACCAAATTGGCTAAAACAAAAACTGAAACCGAACCGAATTGTTGTTCGGTTTTTTGGTTAAAAACCAAATTTTTTTCGGTTCGGTTTTTCGGTTAAAAACCGATTTTTTTTTTGGCCTTTTTCTTCTAAAAATTGAATTATTTTGCTTTTAAAAAAATATCAAACTTGCATAATCAAAGATTGCATATTTCACATTTGATTTTATAAGAAAATTATGTATGATTATTATTATTTTTCTATAATAAATATGTTTCTATTTATATTATAAACTAAATTAGTTGGACTTCTCATTATTTTTTCAATCACGCTATAATTGATTTTTTTTTATTAATTTTTCATATTATTTTTTTAATCTATTTATTTTGTGCATATTTTATTGTTGAATATATAATATGAAAAATTCAATTTTTAATTTATGTTTGTGCCAATTTTAATACAAGGAGACAATTTTTTTTCATGAGGTTTTAGGATTCACCTATAAATTTGTGTTTTCATAAAGAATTTCTTTATCATAGTCTTTTTTTTATTTTTTTTGTGAGTCAATATAATATAATCAATTATTTTATATTTCAATAAATAATTAATGAAAAATAGTTCTATTTTAAGTAGAAAAAAATCATTAAAGCTATTGTTCTTTTAATTAAACCCATAGGTGTCTCTTTGATTTTTTTTTTAAAAGAGTTTGAGTATTTGTTTTTTTTAAAAAAACTAATTCGGTTTTCGACGGAAACCGAATTTAAAAAAAAAAATCAAACCAAACTGAAATAATTTCGATTTTTGATTTTAATTTTTTTTTAAAAAATCAAATCGAAATTGTTAATTCAATTGGATTCGGTTTGATATTTCGGTTTTAATCGAATAGTAAACACCAACAAGGTTAGGTGATTTAGGTGATTTAAATTATGCTGTGCTCTTTGGCTTTCTTTATTTATGTCATAAAGAAAGACACAAGCAGAGTCACAGAACAAACAGTGAGAGTGAGGAGAATAACTAAGGTAAGGAGTAAGAAACAAAAAGTGGGTGATCATATTCGTTTCATATCAGTGAATCAATGGAAGAGTATAGGTTAGATTTTGTGTTGGTACCCTTTGGTTTGTCTTTGATGGGAATATACCACATTTGGCTTCTTCTCACCATTTTCCGATATCCAAGGAGAACTGTCATTGGAATCAATTCTGAGACCCGATCCCAATGGGTCCTTGCCATGATGACTGTTAGTCTCTCTCTCTCTCTCTCCCCCTCGTTTTCCTTTTTCTTTTTTGGAATCTTGAGGTGTTACAGCTCCACTAGCAGCAGCTATCATTTGTTTCTTACTTTTAGAGTTTTTTTTTCTTTTTTTAATTAGTGATACCCTTTGGAGGACTTGACTTAAACTTCCTTGGTTGAGGATATCATGGCAAGTTTTTTTTTTTTATCTGGTGTTTTCCCAGATCTTGATAACTTTGAATTGCTTAGTTTTTGCTCTATGATACAAGGGAGGTGCTAGTTCCCTTATGAGTGTTTCTAATTTCAAAGCTTTTTAATTGCTTTAATTAGCTGTGTCTGTTGTTGCAGTCGGCATGATTTGAAGATAGAAACTTCTGATCAATCATCTTAGTGAATATTCTTGGACTTTAGGATATTAGGATCATTCTTAAGCATCCATTTCTGACAATTGGGCAAGTACTCACTCATTGATCTAGTGTTTTCCATTATTAGTCCAGTTTGCACTAGCCTTTGTCCATTGGCATCGTTGTGGTGGCTCTTGTGAGTCATAACAAATTTTATCTCGTAGTGTATATCCTTTTCTACTTATTCCATAATGTTGTGGAAAAAATCTTTTCCCTTATCTAGGAGAATCCCTGCATTTACTTATTTATCTCTGATGGAAAGTATGAACAACCAAGTGAGTGAAAAGAAATCTGTTAGTAGTTTCTTGGCTGGAGTGTGACAGGGCCACAGCGGTCACTATCAGTCAATAGTTCCTTGGCCAATATTTGCTTTAAATAGGTTATATAGCAAAACTATTCATGGAACTGTGGGCAGGATTAGTAAGGGCTTTTTAACTTCTGTTTTGTGATAAATGTGTACTGTTAGAATTAGCTTTTAATCAACATCAACATCAACATCAGCGTTAAGTTTTCCTTTTTAAGGATCGAGTCCTCAGTTTCTGTAGATTTTTGGTTATAAGAGTTCTGAAGGGCTTCGACTCAAAATTATCAATAAAATTAGGATTAACATTTATGTTCCCTTAAGAACCGGGTATTTGCTTGAATTAAAAAATTTGGAACCATGGAATCTCCTTTTTCTCAAATGAAGATCGGATATGGTGTGATTGAACTGTGCTTTCTTTTTAATTGTGTTTTGAACTGAACATTTGACATGCAGATGAGCAAAAAATTTCCATGGCTTTGCACAAATGGCAAAGACCGAGTGTGGTTGGTAGAATACAGGTTGGAATCAATAGCTTCAAGACTTGATGATCTAGTGAACAATGGAGGTTTGTGGAAAGATTATGAAAAGTAATACCAAACCTTTAGTAAGACTGTGCGGAGTGTGGATTTGCGGGTGGGTGCTTTGCTTTAGTGATCAAGTCTAGTCCACTCTATCCAAAACTGGAATCCTTCGCCTAAGATATACTATATTTATATGGTTCAGTTATTCTGTAGGCCAAGTGAGTGATTTTGATGCTGATTGTCTTTTTTTTTTTTTTCTCGTTGAAATATGATGTCGTTTGAGAATGTGCATCTGTCTACAATGTGGTCCAAATATCTGACAATATCACTATTATTTCAGGATCCCATGAAGAATGGTGTTTTAGCAGTCCAAACAATACGAAACAACATAATGGCATCTACTCTTTTGGCAACAACGGCAATCACTTTGAGTTCACTGATCAGTGTTTTCGTGAGCAGCACATCAAAATCTGACAATTCAGCATCACAGATAGTTTATGGAAATAAGAGTAGTGTTATTTATTCAATCAAGTACTTCTCTATTTTACTGTGCTTTCTTGTTGCGTTTCTCTGCAATGTGCAGTCTATTAGATATTATGCCCATGTTAGCTTCTTGGTCACAGTGTCTACATCCGAAGGCAAAAAGGATTCTATCGAGTATCTTACAAGAAACTTGAATCGAGGAAGTTTCTTTTGGTCCCTCGGATTGCGAGCTTTCTATCTGTCATTCCCTCTGTTTTTGTGGATCTTTGGACCCATACCCATGTTTGTGTGTTGCTGCATAATGTCCTTTGTTCTCTATTTCTTGGATACAACAACTAGTTTTACTCGGGATCTTCACCATCGCTCGTTCAGAAAGGATATGGAGGCTGGTGATCTGGACTTTACTGGTCAATCGACGTAAGTTCCGTTGAAAATAGAATGTACTGATAGTCTGTCGTTATATTTGTTTTACACCATCAAATTATACTATTGAATATGATTAATATTTAGTAGAAACAGGTACAAAACTTATAAGATTCTTGCAAGCACCTTTGTCTTCAATTGCTGATCAGAAGGAGCTTTGTGTGTGTGTGCATGTGAGTTCTTATGCATTTTTGCAATCTGTATATTACTCTCAATTATTAGGTTTAGATATTGGAATATTTAGAGATGGGTCTTTCTTGATATTATAGATATCTACTAGATTTTTGGCCCGCAGCGTAGGTAAAATATATAAAATTATTTAAAAAAATTATTTCAGTTTAATAATCTATTTTATGGTAAAAAGTAATTATAATTTTTTTAATTAAACTTTTTTTATTTACTATTTTTTGTTTGTGTTTTTAAATTTTAGAAATAAATAATAAAGAAAATAAATTATTGGTTTCTTTTAAATTTTGACGCTTAATTAATTGTTGGTTCATTTAAAATTTTAACACCTAACATTATTAAGAAATGAAAATTAAAAAAAAATTCAATTTTTAGAAAAAAAAAAGAGGGTCTAGTTTTTTACTCTTCAAATGGGAAAAAAAAAAAAAGGGAAGAAGGTAAGCGCAAGCAAAAATAAAAAAAGTGAAATTTTTTTTGTAAAAAAACCAAAGCGAGTGTAGTAATGAATAGTGATTAATACTGTTTATTGTTATAGTGAAAAACCATTTTCTTTTAATATATATATTAAGAAATGAAAATTAAAAAAAATTTTTTAATTTTTAGAAAAAAAAGGGTGCTAGCAATTTGCTGATCAAATGAACAATAAAAGGGAAAAAAAAGGAGAAAGAAGGACATCGTTGGCAAAAAAAAAAAAAAAAAAATCAAAGAACTGTAGCAATGAACAATAATTAATAATTTCATTGCTTTTCCTTTAGTTTATAGTATAATATAATATAATTGTTGGAATCGTAGTTGATATATATATACATACATATATATATACATACATATATATATATATATATATATATATATATATATATTTGATTTAATTTTCTATTTTCTTCCTACAATTAAGAGTTATAAATATAGATTTGGTTAGTGATCTAAATTAGGAAAATTAAAATGGAGTTTTTTTTTTTTTCCAAAATAGGATACTTTTTAATCTCTTTTTGTTAAATAAGATATTTTAAATCTTATTTATAAAAAATGATAGTTTTGCCATGTAGGCATCCATGTCATCTTTTTAGGGATTAAGTGAGCCTTATAATTGCATGATTAAGTTATTTAAAAGGAGGAGGGAGAGAGAGGGAGAGAGAGAGAGAGAGGATCATCCTGCCAAGAGCTAATCTCTAGAGCAAGATCTTCAGTAAGAAAACCTTTAACCAAAATAGAAATTCGAGCTGCTGTAACACAATTCATCAGCCATGATCTCTATCTGGAACCAAAACTTATTTTTTGCGTTACTTCACCTAGATAATCCCATCTAACTAAGTCAAACGCCTTTTAGAAATCCAATTTAAATAAACAATCGAGTACTTTATGCTTCTTTATGAAAGCCAGAATTTCATTAGCAATGAAATTAGAAGTTTAGACCGTCTAGACCAGAAGTTGTATCACCATCACAATCCCACAAACCTGCTTTAATTTCATCCTCCTCCCACGAAAGTTCAAGTAAATTGTAGAATCATCCAGTTTCGTAAATATTAGTCTTGCAATCAGTCTTATGTTTTGAAGAAAATAGCTTTTGAAAGTAGCTTCAAATATAAGTTTTTAGCCCAACAAGCTCTGAATTTATCCTACCATCATCTCCTTCCTCGTCACTCTTTTTATCATAGTTTTTTAATTATAAGTCAATTTTTACCACACGAATATCCAAGGAAATAGGACTGAAACTACGTTGATGGAGAATTTTATTCTGAGGCCTAATGGTTAATCCTGCCGTTGCAAAGTTGGCTCCATGACTGAAGTTAATGTTAAAAAGCTTAATCTAGATTTTAGCTCAGCATCACGTCAAAGACAATATCGCAATGACAATTACATGTACAAATTTTTATTTTTGTGTACTAACATGCTTCAGATAAATAACTAAATAAGGTCTACGAACGATAGGCTCATCAACAATAGTTCTCAATTTGCTGAAATAGCAGCAACAGGTCCCAATGGAGGTTGATTCTTATTCAATGCATCCCAATCTATTTCCCTCAGTACTTCAAACCTCTCATTCAATCTCACAAACGCAACTTGAGATGAAACAATGTCCGAGTTCCAGCTTGATGGAGAAGGATTATGCAAGAGCCCATATCAGGACCGTGGAGCTTTCCACTTAGCAACACTCGGAGAGGCATGAAAAAGGATTTCCCCTGTATAAAGATGGAAACAAGAAAAAAATAATAGAAAATGTTTAGAGTTCAGAGACATAAATGATTTGATCGTGTTCACCATATCTGATTAGTTTGATTTGAGCTTCTAAACGGACTTTATATATTGAGCTGCTTAATGAACTAACCCCATTCACTGTGCCATAATCCTTGATCGTCAATTGTGAAACCTGAACAAAGAAAAGAAAATATCAAAGATAGCCTAGACTATTCCACAAGGGACCAATGCAAACAGCTAAACACATGAACAAGTGATTGTTAGGAAATGAAAGCATGATTGACTCTCAACTTGCATGACAGTGATTGATGAATCAATACAACTTACCTGATGAAGCTCAATAATTTTACCATTCACATCATTATGGCATTTCAGAAGTAGCATAAACGATTCAAGTTGATCCAAAGCATAACAGATGCTAACAAGAACATAGAAAGCCATATTCACGTAGAGAAAAGAAATGATTATCAAAGTATCATGAATTAACTTCAGCTGAGTTGGCATTGAGAGAGCTTCTAAACCTCAGATTAAAAGGTAGGAAGTTCAGGGACAAACAATCAGTTATCCATCCAAAGATAGCTACTTTCCTTTTTCAGATGTATATTTTTAGTGTCTTCATAAGTAGCAGGTGCCTTAAGAAAGATAGAGTAATTCAATTTGATCTGTTGTCAAATTGTATAAACACAATGGGAAAAAATTGCAAGAAATTAGAGTCTTACAGCACTTCGTTTATTGATCAAATCCTTTATAATAGAATTCTATTCAACATAAGAGATAAATTCCCATTCATCAAAGTGAGAGAAATGCAACTGAAGTGGTTAGCCACACTGCATTGCCTCTTTATCCTCATGGAAGGCACCTCTACTTCTCTCTGCCTCTTGAAGTTGCAACTACAATCAAATTAAATGTGGTTAGAAGTTAGAATTATGAAACACTAAGACCTACTGTTTAACTTCTTCAAATAGTGAATCAATGTGTAAATTTTTTCAAAAAAAGGGAAGTTCATTTACATGTGAAAGATTCTTGATTCTTGAACACGTTACGAGCATACTACAAATAAACAAATGAAAGGAATCAACAAAAATCCCTTCTAAATTTCGTTCTACGAATTAGAGAATAAAATACTAAAAACACTAGTTAGATAACAAACCTCACCATTTATTCAAAACCTTCGAAGCCGGAGATAACAAAATGTCCATAAAGTCCCTGCCAAAATCAACAAACACATACTATCATTCAGAGTTTGAATACCATCATTCCCAGTTCTTCTTTTCTTATTTCATTCTACTACCTAACTAAATCCATAGGCTTTGATAACCAAAAGAGCTCTTACACCAAATTCTTTTGTCCTAATGAGAGAGCTTGCTGCAAAAATTTTGCCCCAAAAAGCTGATTTTTGAATTCTATCTTTCAATCGATCATTAAAAGACACTACATTTTGCACAGTTTCTGGTGGTGGTGAATCCAACAATGGATCCATCAACTTACAGAAATTCTCTAGCTGCTTCTCGTATCTGCATATGCCAATTTTAACAAAAATATCTAAACATTAATAAATAGAACCAACTAGTTGTCTCGAAAGTAAAAACTGAGAGAGCAGAACAGAATCTAACTTGTTCTTTCTCAGTACCAGCCATGGCTGAGACTGAAAACAGTCTTCTCGTTGGAAAAACAAAAGAGACTTTTGGTTGAAAGAGAAGCCGAAGAACCAGACTTTAGGATGATGATATAATTTTTTAGAAAAAAATAAACTAACATGTCAATATATTTAATTGAAATGATTCCTACTTGGCATATAATGTCTTATTATGAGAAATAAGTTTAAAATTATCTTGTTATAAGAAATAAGATTTAAAAAACCTTATTATGAAAAAAAAAAACTCAATTAAAATGTAATTAGTTGACTTCCTATTTTTGTATAATCTCTCTTATAAAAGACATTGTAATATCACAGCTGTAAGAAATAGAATGAATTCCTATCAATTCTTCATGGTATCAAAGTATGATCTGATTCTTTAGCTGACCTTCATACTTGCTTTGCTACCTAAATCCTTTTAAAAACAAACCTTAATCTTTATCATGTCTGAAATCACATCTGATCTCACACCTAGTGCACCTGCATTGACCTCTACCATCATTAAACGTAAGACATCCCACTTGAAAAAACATCTTGTCCAGATTACCACAATCAAGCTGAATGGCAAAAATTTCTGGTACTGATCTCAATTTGTGCACATGTATATACGAGGACAAGGAAAGATGGTATATTTAACAGGTGATGCAAAAGAGCCAGCTAAGGGGGATTCCTTGTATGCAACCTAGGACGTTGAAAATTCCATGGTTATGACGTGGTTCATGAACTTGATGGAGGAAGAGATCAGCTCTAATTACATGTGTTATGTGACAACTAAGGAACTTTAGTAGAATGTCAATCAGATGTACTCTGATTTAGATAATCAATCCCAAATTTTTTAACTAACCTTGAAACTTAGTGACCTTAGACAGGGTGATGATAATGTTACCAACTACGTCAATCAATTAAAGCTTTTATGGCAAGATTTGGATTGTTCAATGACTATGAATGGAAGTCTAGCAATGACTACAACCATTTCAAAAAAGTGGTGGAAAATAACCAGATTTACAAATTCTTAGTTGGACTTAATGTTGAATTTGATAAAGTGAGAGGATGTATCATTGAGAGACAACCTTTGCCATCTCTTGGTGAAGTTGTTTTTAGAAGTTAGAAGGGAGGAAAGTCGAAAGAATGTTATGTTGGGAAAGAAAAGTGTCACCACCTCTGTAGAAAGTTCTGCTTTGGTGGCAGGTGGTACTAATCAAGACAAAAATTTCAATTATACATGAAAGCAAGATGATCATCCCAAGGTTTGGTGTGACTACTACGACAAACCTTGCCATAGTAATGAGACTTGCGAGCAGATTCATGGTAAACTAGCCAATTGGAAGAGCAACAAACAACATGACAAACCAATCCATAGAAATCCTATAGCGAATGAGGCTGGATTTGTTCTTTTTAGTACTTAGAGGAAAAAGTAGATGGATCAACTTCTTAAACTACTAAATTCCAATTCATCATTTGGTACTTCTAGTGTATCTATTGCTCATTTAGGTTGAAATCCTAATGCTTTTTTGTGTTCTCTAAATTCAGTCCCTTGGATTATATATTCGGGTGTTTCGAGCATATGACTAGCTTTACTTGATCTTTTTAGTACTTATACATCTTGTCCTTGTAATGAAAAAATTAGGATCGCTAATAGAAGTTTTTTACCAATTGCGGACAAAGGTTTAATAAAACTTTTTGAAAAAATAGGTCTTAAATATATACTTTTTGTACCCCAATTGACCTATAATCTTTTAAGAGTAAGCAAACTTTCCAAGGAATCTAATTGTCGTGTTGTCTTCTTTTATAGGATTAGAACTCAAAGAGGACGATTGGCGATACTAAGACGATAGATGATCTTTACTACTTTGATGATAACCTCTCTAGTAATAAAAAAGCTCAAGGATGTTATAGTATCTGTTCAAATTTTGTTCTTGAAGAAACACTACTTTGGCATCTCCGATTAGGTTGTCCTAGTTTTCAATATCTTAAACACTTGTTTTCAACTTTATTTAAAATTGTGGATTGTTCTTCTTGTAAATGTGAAAGCTGTATGTTAGCTCAAAGGCATCATACTATTTATACATCTAAACTTTATCGTACATCAAAACCATTTCATCTAATTCACAATAATGTTTAGGATCCTTCTAAAATTACAACTCGTGTTCGAAAAAAAATAATTTGTAACTTTTATTGATGATCACTCCCGCCTATATTGGTTGTACATAATGCATGAAAAATCTGATATGGAATGATTATTTAAAGAATTTTATCATATGGTTGAAAACCAATTTCAAACAAAAATCAATTTTTTCCATTCAAATAATGGAATATAGTTTTTTAATAACTGATTGGGGATGTTTTTCAAAGACAAAGGTATTTTATATTAATCTAAATGTCATGATACTCCTAAGCAAAATGACATTGTTGAAAGAAAATATAAAGATATACTTAAGATAGAACAATCAATAATGTTTTTCATGCATGTTTTAAAATATTTGTGTGAAGATGTAGTGCTAACAACATCTTACTTGATTATAGGGGTGGCAATTTGCCTTGTCCCGATGGAGCCCCATTTTGTCCAGCCTCGATTAACGTGGGGATTTTCCGAGTTGAATGGGGAACGGGACGGGGTGCCCCATCCCATATTAATTTTGAACGAGGATGGGGTGGAGATGATATTTGCTCCCTCCATCCCATTTGCCATGCTCTATCCTTGAAATTATAATTATACCCTATATAAAATTTATGACTACCGACTCTTAGAGTTTATTTTCTATATGAACTATCATTTTTTTTTACTATAGTTTAAAATTTGATAGTAGAATGGAGCGAGATGAGATGAAAATAAAAAATTAAACGGGGTCACCAATGCCCCATAGGGATCCCCGTCTTTGTTTAGAGCGAGAGATGGTATGAGAAATATTGCCCTGTTAGGGGCATGGGGCAAGGACGGGGTAGGGATGGCCATCCTTGTTCGCACTCGCCCTATTGCCATTCCTACTTGATTAATAGGATGCCTACTCGAGTCTTAAAATATATGACCCTTTTAGAATGTTTCAAAACTATGTTTTGTACATCTAGAATTCATGATGATTTACCTGTCAAGATACTTGGATGCACTATGTTTGCTCATATCCATAGCTAGTATCGTTCAAAAGTAGATCCTAGGGTTGAAAAATGTGTGTTTATTGGGTATGCTCCAAACGGAAAAGGGTATATGCACTATAATTCAATTACTAAAAAAGTACTTTACATAAGAATGCATGTAACTTTTTTTTTTTTTTTTTGGAGACATAGCCTACTTTTACAAAATTATCTTTAGGGGGAGAGATTTTTAGGTGAAGATAATTTTTGACAAGTTTCTACCGATCTTTTGCCAATACACAATTTTGAATCATATAATTTCCCAATCATCTCCACATATGCAAGAAACAATCAACCAAGGTAATCAACCTAATTTAGATCACACACAAACAAGGATAGAAATACCATAACAAGATAAATCAAAGATCGAGCTTTTGATTTATACTAAGAGAAGAACCAAAAAAGGCAATAAAGACTCATGTATCATCCAAGCACCAATTCAATCGAATTTTTGAGCAATGGTAATCTGGAAACCTATGGCGACTCAAATTCATTTCCAACCCAAGGTAATCCCATTTCATTTTTATCTCCAAATGATTATTCTAAAGTTGAGTTTTTTGACCTTAATGTTCTTATAGCTATTAGAAAAGAAACTAGAACATGTACCCAACATCCTATTGTAAAATATCTATCTTACAAAAACTTGTCCTAAAATCATAAAACATATTGATTTAGGATATCTAATCTGTTTGTTGCTAGAAACATTAAAGAAGCCCTAGATGATCTAAATTGGACGTTAGCCATTATAAAAGAGATGAATGCTCTTGAAAAGAGTGGCGTTTGGGAGATGGCTAACTTGCCAAATGATAAAAAATTTATAGGATGCAAATGGGTGTTCACCATCAAATGTAATACCGATGGTAGTGTTGAGAGGTCTAAGGCTAGACTTGTAGTTAAGGATTTATTGTAGACTTATGGAATTGATTATCTAGAGACATTTTCCCTAGTAGCAAAAATAAACTCAATTTGAGTCTTACTATCTATAGCCATGAATTCCAACTGGTCTTTACACTAATTGGATGTGAAAAATGCATTCTTAAATGGAGACTTGAAGCATGAAGTATTTATGAGTCTACTATTTGGCTTCGGAGACAACATTGACAACAACAAAGTCTCGCAAGCTAAGAAAATCTTTACATGCCCTTAAATAGTCTTCTAGGCTCGGTTTGAATGCTTTAGGAAAACCGACAAAGGCCTTGGTGATAGCCAAAGTCAAGTAGATCACACCATGTTTTACAAACACTAAACTAATAGGAAGATAGCTATCTTAATTATTTATGTGGATGATGTCATCCTAACTAGTGATGAAAATACGAGCTTGAGAACCTAAAAGAAGAATCTTGTTGAGAATTTTAAAATCAAGAATTTGGGTCCCCTAAGATACTTTCTTAGGATGAAGTTTGCTAAATCAAAGGAGGGAATATTTCTTAACCAATGTAAATATATTCATGATTTGCTTGGTGAAACATGTTTACTTGGATGTAAGGTAATTGAGACTTTGATTAAACCCTACATAAAGCTTCAACTTGTCAAACTCGAAGAAGTGAAGAAGTGGGAACGATATCAAAGACTTGTTGGAAGACTAATCTATGTGTCTTACCCTCGCCCATATATATCCTTTGAAGTTAGTGTAGTAAGTCAGTTCATGCATTCACCGGGACAAGAGCACTTTGAGATTGTGTACATAATTTTGAAGTATTTGAAAGGGATTTCGGAAGGGGAGTGTTGTACAAAAAAAGTGGACATCTACAAATTGAAGTATACATTGATGCTGATCGGGCGGGAGATGCCACGAACATAAGATCAACTTCTGGCTACTGCATATTTATTGGAGGTAACCTAGTTACTTGCCACAGTAAGAAACAAAGTGTT